TTTACCACCTTCCTGGGCCATTAGTGGGGCCCTTGGTGCCCCAAGAGCAGGGGTAAGGGGTGGTATTTTAGCCCCCCCCACCAAGAAAAGTGTAGGACCCACCATACTATATTGACCATCTTGTCACATACCTTGTGGTGTTTCTGACCCACACTTTTATTGTCCAGTCACTCTTTGAAATAAATTTTATTGAGGGTTATGCCTAGATAAAGTACATTCCTGCTGTGATGATGGAGACAAGGAGTCTCATGGTGAAAGATGTGCCAGGCTGTTGTTTGTTTAAATGCAGATAGGGTTATTCCTGTCCCCGTTCCTTGCCTAAGTCTGGCCACTTGATAGGTAATTGCCCGTTGACTTTGATGACACCTGGCTAGACTCCTTTGTGTTCAAGAAACTGCAAGTAAATGCATTTCAGACCTAATTTCAGCTTATGTTTATTACTTTACATAGAATGTTGCTACACACATTTTGTCATGATAGTATTGACAAGTGTCTTATTGGTTTGCAAAGCTCTCTCCAATAGCCTTAGAACAGCTGAGCCAATGCAGCCTTTTAAGTGTAGACTTGCCCTTAGAAATTTTCTTAATAACTAACCTGAATCTCTGTTACTACAGGCTAAGGCCATTACTTCTTGTCCCACCCTGGGTGGAGATAGAGAACCATTGATCACCATCCTCTTTATAACAACTTTTCACATATTTTAATACTGTTTTCAGGTCCCCCTTCAGCCTTTTGTCCTCTAGACTAAACATGCAGAGTTTTTTCAATCTTTTTTCATAGGTCATGTTTTCTAAATCTTTGATCGTTTTTGTTGCTGTCCTCTGTACTCTCTCCAGTTTGTCCACATCTTTCTTAATGCACAATATATTATATTTATTAATTAATAGTAATACTAATTGAGAGAATCATTTAGACAACCTACACACATTAAATTCTTTCAATCTTTCCATGTAATTAATTCCTTTCAGCCATAGATTGTAGACAGATAGGTCAATAGATTTCTGTTTATCATCGAGTTTTTCAAAGTGATCTAGAATGGACACAAATAGGTAGCTTACCCTGTAATTTTCTGTGCCACATCAGGGGCAGAGTGCAGTTAGAAGTGCAAATTTAGGGTTTGGTCGTGGGGATCCTGACATACATCCTCCTGCAAAAAATTACCACTTAAGAATTGCCAGTGCTTATAATGTTTTCCTGAGCAGAACTGGGGAACAAACCATTTGCAGAAACCACATGAAATGGATGGCAGTGGACTTTCCTTGGGCTAATCTAGTGTCTCACACCTAGAACCAGATGCAAAATTGAATGGTTACAAAGTTATTGGGTTTATAGATTCTGGGTCTATAGATTGGTAGGGATGGCTGATGAAATCTCTGAAATTGAGGGAATGCAGTGTTAAATGAGTGCCCTAGGTGTCATCATAGCAATTATTAATGGTTAGTTGTTAATGTTTGATAATTAATTGACAACTTGAATAAGCTGAAAGGCAACAAAGGTAGCACAGATAAATGGAAATACTTTTTAATATGACCCAAAATTAACCTGTGTTAATCATACTCCATGACATTACCAGGGAAAGATTAGGCATTTATTCTAGATGTTGGTTCCTCACCGAGGTTGGTCTAGAGCTCCTTGGTAAATTAGAAGTTGACTTAATGACATACAATGTTTCTATGACTTCTACCAAAATTACTAATAAGATGCATGACAGTTCATAAGAGTTATTCAAAAATTTGTAAATTAATTTGTAAATTATTTTAAGGTCAGAGTTAAGGTTACAATTTGAGTTAAAAGCATTTTTCTTTGACCCTTCTGAGAAGGGCATTGCATCTTGAAATGACCTCATCATATACACTATTGAGGATTCAAATGTTTAAAGAATATATGTTCCCATGATTCAGGGTAAAGGTCAGCCTCTATCTGTCTGCACTGAGGAAGAAATTTCTGTTATAGGTAGGTTGTCTCATTGCCTATCCCCTGGCATAGATATCCTAGAACTACCACCAACTGCCACAGCTGCACTTTTTCCATGACAACTTGTTTGAAGTATTGTTGTAGGCAGGTTGGTCCCAGGATATGAGCAAAGCAAAGTAGGTGAGGTAATCTCTTTTATTGGACCAATTTACGTTGGAAGCTTCAAAAGAAAGCTGCACAACACCTTCAAAAGATGTGCCTGAAAACTTAGTCTTCTTGTGACAGATTTATGTTACCAATTTGCCCGGGGTGTCAGGTGATCAGGCTGAGGCTGCAGTATCTTTAGGGGAGGAGATGGAGGAGCACACCAAGTGACTAAATTTTAAAGCTTTATTAATAAAATAATAAAGTAACAGCGGTGAGCACTAGGAATGCTCCCATGTCTCTCAGAGGAAGAAAGAAAGCACTAGTGCACTAACCCTAACCCACTTTCATACTCACACCCACGCTACCCGAGGCTGGCCAAGTCTGAGTGTAACATAAGAAGAAGCGGGGGAAGGGTGGACGGGAGTTCTTGTCCTGTGCACAGGTCATCCAGGGTCTGCTGTTGATCTCCAACTTGCTTCAGCTCTCAGGAGGGTTTTAAAGTCCTGGGTTCTTTTGGGGGCACTTCATTCAGGGACCTCTGTTCCTGGTGCTCTTTGTACCAGTCCAAACTGGCCTTCCATGGCTTTCTCAGCTTTCCCAAAACACACCAGCCTCAGGGAAGTGAAAATGGTTGTTCTCCCCTCCCCCCCGCTGGCCTTCACTGTCTCATTCATTTTTGCAGCCCCTGCAGTCCTGTTCAGCTGAATCCTCCTTTCTCATGGCTAGTCAGGGTGGAATAGGTCCCCATCTTTCTTGGCTGGCAGCTGAGAGTCGGATGTGTGCTGCAGCCTTGGGCTGGAGTCAGCATCTTATCTTCAGACTGAGCTAGATGAAATGTCAAGTTAACCCATTCTCTGCTCTCTCCCTCCCTCTTTGGCCTCTCGCAACCTGCAAAAGAATTTTTCACTCCACACTCACACCTTTGACCCTTCCCGACATGCTTGGCAATGCCTGCACCAGCATTAGCAACATACAAGGCTGATCTGCCTCCCCATGGGACCCCCTGAGGGAGGGGGTCCTTGGGGCTGTGACATTCTGGACACTGAAAACCCTGGACTTAACAGACACTCTGGTTTATGACCCTGCAGTGAGGCCGAGTGGCCTCTCTCCGAGCAGGAGAGCGAGGCACCATTACACTCCCATTGGAGGATGGCTCCTAGATCACCCTGCCCCCCTCCCCAGAACTATTGGGGTGTGGCCGGAAGTATAAAAGGCCAGCTCTGCAGCACAGTTGGGAGAGAGCTGCTGGAGGAGAAGGACGCTTTGCCTATTTGGCCGCGTTCCCGAGAGGAACATTCACCTGACTGTTTCTTGTGGTTTTCCTGGTTTTGTACAGGTGGGGAACCTGGCCATCATCGCTGTCTCGTGGCTGGAACCCACACCCCTATGTATTTCTTCCTCAGCAACCTCTCTTTCCTGGACCTTTGCTACACCACCAGCACCGTTCCTCAGATGCTGGTGAACTTCCGCAGTGCCCATAAGTACATCACCTGGGCAGGCTGCATATCCCAGCTCTACATCTTTCTCTCACTGGCTGTCACAGAGTGCCTCCTGCTGGCTCTCATGGCCTACGACCGCTACGTCGCCATCTGCCAGCCCCTGTGTTACACAGCCATCATGAGCCGCCGCCTCTGCCTGCAGATGGCAGCCACTGTATGGTTGTGCAGCTTTGGCAACTCTATCCTGCAGGCCAATTCTGACCATGTGGCTGCCCCGACGCAGCCGGAACTGGGTCGACCACTTCTTCTAGGAGATGCTGGCCCTGCTCAAGCCGGCCTGTGTCGACACCTTTGCCAATGAGGCCCAGGCATTTGCTGTCAGTGGTCTCTTCCTCATGGTGCTGCTGGGCCTCATCCTGGTCTCCTACAGCTACATTTTCACCGCTATGCTGAGGATTCGCTCAGCCCAGGGTGAGCTCAAGGCTTTCAACACCTGCGTCTCCGACCTGGCTGTGGTGTCACTTCTATGGCACGGCCATTTCCATATATCCACATCCTCCATCCAGCTACTCACAGGACTGGGGCAAGATGGCCTCCCTCTTCTATGGCATTATCGCTCCCATGCTCAACTCCCCGATCTACACGCTGAGGAACAAGGATGTGCATGGTGCCCTAAGGAAGCTGCTGGGGAGGCTATTCTGGAGAAAAAGGACATGATCCAGAGAAATGAGTTGGGACTGGCTGGCTTGGTTCTCTATGGGGCAGCAGCTCTGATCCAGCCTCATCTCAGGGAGGGAGACTGGTTGGCTCGGGGGCCCAGGCTATTGTATATGGAGCCTTTCCCATCTAGGAGCTCTGCATTTTAATCTCTCTGACCAAATGGTGCTGGGACTGGGAAACCAGAGGTCCGTCACCATGAGCCCCAGAAGGCAGAAGAGTGTGAAAAGGCCCAGCAGATGGTGTTGGGCATCGCACTGTGTCCTTCCTTGGCTCCATCCATGAACAAAGCTGGCTCTGCATGGAGATCACTAAGCAATAGGGGGAGGGATAGCTCAGTGGTTTGTGCATTGGCTAGCTAAGCTTAGGGTTGTGAGCTCAATCCTTGAGGTGCCGTTTAGGGATCTGGGGCAAAAATCTGTCTGGGGTTAGGTACTACTTTGAGCAGGAGGTTGGAGTAGATGACCTCCTGAGGTCCCTTCCAGCCCTCATATTTTATGATGTGGGCATCTGAGAGTTGTTTCTCTGCACCAGAGCCAGACCTACACTTAACATATAATCCCTCTGATTCTCTAATATTGATCTAAAATCCCCATCAACATTGCCTCCTTTCTATTTAATTCTCGGATATGGATAGTTTTGGGGCTTCTTCCCTCTTCTCATGTTAAACTGCAGCTACTTCACCACCTGGGAAGGATGCTCACCAGAGTCACCATTCTGCACCAGGTAATTCTGCTCTCATCAATGCTCCTGCTCTTCTGGCTGCGCTGGTGGAACGGCACCATGCCATCCACTCCTGGCAGGACCCCTGTGCTCCTCCTCTCTAGCTGGCGCTTGGGCTCCACCTTCTCCAGCCAGCTCTTCAGCCAGCATCCCAACGTCTTCCACGTGATGGAGCTGGCCAAGCATATTTTCCACCGCCTGCCCAGAGGCAGCCTAGAGCTGCTGCAGGTCCTTCCTGTAATAGGTCCTTGCTGGGGCTCGACCCTTCCGGGCAGGAGGGGAGCCACACCGACTCACTACTGCAGGGGTAAATAGTCAGTTAGTTCAGCAGCTCCGGCCCTCCAGTGCTGGGGCGGAGCAAAACCGACAGCTAGCTCAGGGCTCGGGCCGTCAGACAGGGGGGCTGAGCGGGCAGCCGTTAGTTCGGGGCTCAGGCCCTCTGGTGCAGGGACTGAGCAGACAAACAGCTAGGGAGCCCAGGCCCTGGATCAGGGCGGGGCACACACAGTTCTAGCCCAGGCCCTTGGTTGCAGGGGCTGAGCGAGCAAGCAGGTAAGGCACGCCTAGGCTCCTGTAGCCGAGCGTTGGGTGAGGAGGAAGCCTGCCACCCGTGAGCGGGGGTGGCAGAGGGGAACGCAGGCCCACCCACTCCACTGCGTTCCAGCCCGGGGCCCTAGCAGCAGTTACTGCCGCTGCTGGTCAGTGGGGTATCCAGACCGCAACACACTGACATTGGCTCACATTCGTCTGCAGCCGGACCGGGGTCGGCTACCCCCGGGCTACTTCCAGGATCCCCCTCAGAGCCTACCTCGTTCGTCGCACCGGGCTCGGGCCAGTCCATCTGCATGGGCTCCTCTCGGCCAGGGCTTGGTGGCAGGTCCGGTAGCTCTGCTGGAAAATCAGGCCAACGGCACTCGGGCCCGCCTGGGATCTGCTCCATTCCATCTTCTGGTGGGAGGTGGCCACGCTACAGGACTTCATGCTGCATATTGACATTGTGAGGCCTGCAGGGTGCTAGGCCTGGAGGCACCAGCCTAGCTTCCACCAAGTGCAGGAGATCTGTAAGCTGGCCATGGAGGTCTTTGTGTACAGGCCAGTCAGCTCAGAGGAGGAATAGAAGGACCTAGCACTTCCTTGAAAAGAGATCAAGGCCCAGACAAAGGGATGGGGTTTTTTCTTCAATCTTCACTGAGGATTTGGAGCAATGGTTGGACACTTGGATAAGGAGGATCTGCCTCCCTGAGCAGAGAATCCACCAGGGAATAAGTCACACACTTGTCCAGTATTTCCCGCCCCCCCCCCCCACAAACCAGGGGGTGGATGCCAGTGGTAAAGCCACAATGGGAATCTGTGCGGATCAGTCAGGAAATGCAAACCCAGTTACACACACTTCTGTGGAGCCACAGATAGAACCCCTTTCCTACAGCACTAAATACCCAAGACCAGTTCACCTACAAGCAATCTGGTCTGCTGCTAGATCCTTTATCCTCCCTGCAGACACCAGTTAGTAGACAGGACTGGGAGTCAGGGCTCCTGGGTTCTCTCCCCAGCTGCGGGAGGGGATTGGGGTCTAAAGTTAGAGCAGCATACTTGTCCTGGATGCTAAGACCGACCAGCTACCTCTTATCCAGAGATCAAGAAAAGCTGTACTACCATCCTATCTCTTGTGTCAGTCTCTTTTGTTAAAGACAGGAAACCACCAGTCACAGCCATCAACTGAACTAAAAACCTATGAGGGATTGTCTGACAAAAGAAGAGTGTCTAATCGCTATCCTCTCTGAAAGGGGCTTTTGAAAAGTTTGGGTTACGTTTGGTTCTCAGAACCAGCTAATGGCAAATCCAAACTGATGTATGTCTTGTGTTGAAATTCTTTTTTCCTTTTGTGCATCTGATTCAATACATTTCCAGACTTTGGCATGAATTTTCTAGTGTTTGGCTCATGGGATTGAGCCGGCTGAAGTCTCTGTCCTCAAAACCCTGAATCAGGTTTGACTGCTTAGTGTTATACAAGTGACAGGATCATGCTAATACCTGTGATCTCTGGGCCCCCTTATTCCACTGGAAATTAACACAAAAGCTCTCCCACTGCTCATGGGGCTCGCTCAAGTTTGTCTCCCTTTGGATTCACTTAGATCCCCTTCTTAATCTGAAGCAGAAAACTTTTTAATGGCCCCACAAAGGGACTCATCAGAGACCATGTCACAAATAGCACATTTTTAATAAGTCCCAATTGCTGGAGCCAGGAGCCGAGACTCTAACGATGCCCAGTGCATCGCATCCTGAAGCCTAATGAGGGTGCTTACTCTACCAGGGACAATTGGCACCAATCCCAGACTTTCCTCTGTCACAGACGGGCTGAATATCTTGACACCAGATCTTTGGACAGCCAGACTAATACCACATACGCTTCTGCACCAGGTCATTGTCCAGTTACTCCAGTACCTCATTCCCTTCTGTACTAGGTAACTGTCCAGGTCCAGGTCCCTGGGGCTCTGCAAACATCACCAGCTGAGTGCCAACTCCTTGGAGATGATGCAGGGAGGAAACTCTCCCCACACTCTCCAGCTCTGACAAGCATAAAGGTTTGTCTCCCTCCCCTCACACGGCCCTTAGGAGTCTGGGATGGAGATCCTGAGCTGTGTGGGAGGAGACACCTGCAATTTCAGAGATGGGGGGGGGGGGCCTTCCTGGCCCCCCCAGACCAAAAGAGATACCATCCCCATAAGCTTGGAGACACAAGGACGGCTGTAGAGGGGTCTGGCTAGCCAGCCGTCCTTCTAG